AAAAAAAATTTAAAAAAAAAAAAAAAGAACAGTGGTTCTATTGCCAGTCATTTTCTCCTTTACTTTTCTATGGTTTCTAGATCTGCCACAATGACCTCAAATGGTTATTTTTATAATCACAAAATAACAAAGAGTTATACAGAATACAAATTTTAGATTACTGCTTTGAGTGTGTGTGTGTGTGACAGAGAGAGAGAGAGAGAGAGAGAGAGAGAGAGAGAGAGAGAGAGAGAGAGAGAGAAAGCGCACATGTGAGAGCCTGGGTATATACATGAAATCTCTTTGATCGTCACTTTTGTTATCTGTAACATTGGGGCATCTATTCAAAATCTGTTTCAAGACTTAGATAAATCTCCAGAACACTGGTACCTCACTCGGTGAACATTAATATGGCGTGCTAAATGGACAGGACATGTGTATTTCCAGTGTGAAATACTGTGTGCCAGTGTGGCCGTCAGAGCCTATCGTGTCCCTGGACTCGGAGCACAGAAAGGCCCAGCTGCCTGTTACCGCAACAATGGAAGGAGCATTCGTTCTTGTCACTGAGCACTTTCCGATGCTTGACATTAAATCCAGCAATCAATCCACAACTTAAATCCAGAAACCAGTTGCCAGAAAACAAGAGCTGTGTGCCCAGATCAAAATCTGGACCTCAGGGGGCCCAGACAGGCAGATGTTAAAGAAGTCACTGGCCGACTGTGACACCCCAGTCCCCGCCACACCTCCCAAGCTATCGCCAACCAAGGATGTCCAATGGTGGACCATAACCCCAAGGCTTTACAGGACTGAGTGAATTTATGTTTGTGAAATATGTGGACCACGGACTGCACCTGAATTTGTGTCGAGCACACCTTCTAAAAGATGGAGATGAAATCTTTCTCCTAAAAGGAAAGGGATGGGCGCTGACCTTGTCAGAGAGGCTCTCGGCTTTCAGCTTCTGCTCTTTGAGGGCCTGCTGCAGAGCGAGAATCTCAGCCTTGTGCTCCTTCACCGCCAGCTCCACCACCTGGCGGGACTCAGTGATCCGCTGATCGGCCCTCGCCCTGCCGGAAAAGCACAGGCCTGTTTCAGAAGCCCCACCATCACCATCTAGAAAAAGGAAGGGGGCCCATCTCTAATCCCAATAAGCAACCGAACAGGCTGCAGGCTGGATAGATGCCTAATCCCGATTCCAAGTTCCAAATTCTGTCTTGCTTTCTCACTGCTTACAGAGCGAAGATTTGACCCATTTTAGGTCTTGGGTAAAAATACTCTTAATAGGTAAAGTTCCTGTTAGTACTCACTTGGAGGCTGAAGGGGAAATTTTTCCAAAAGCAACTGGACTGATAGGATAGCAAGACTGGCACAGCCTCCCATGGGACTGGAAATGAAATGAGGTCCCACCGAAGGACCAGGGTGCAGAGGACCACGGGAGACCCAATGGAGCAAACATTTCCTCTCCTTAAAGCATATGCAGTAAATTAATTGTTTTGGGTGCTTATTAGGGAAACTCAAATGTGATTAGTATATCTGTAAATAAGGTTAGAGAATAGAAAAACTAGAAGAAAACTAGAAAAATTGCTGCCTTTCCCTATTTTAGGTCTTGTGTTTTGCTACTTCCATATCTGGGCTTCTACAGTCTCCTCCACTGGCCAGCACTCTCCTCCCCTCCCCTGCAAACCCAAATCTTACTCAGCCTTCAAGGATTAAACTCAAAAGGCCATGTCCTCCATAAAACCTTGCTCAATTACTCCTGTTGCAAGGAAGTTCTCCTTGCTCTGTATTCCAGAGCATAAGCACACTGCTCTCCTGGAATGCCCTGCTCTCTATTTTGAGGTGGTAAATATCTGAATGCATAATTCATCTTCTCTGCGAAACTTGCCTCTTGAGGACAAGAATTAAGAATTCTCTTCACTCATCTCTGTATCCCATGTAACATCAAAATGGGGAAGGGGGGCAGGAAAAGCCAAGATCTTTCACAAGTGCCCCCGAAAGTATACATGAAATGTCTTTCTGAGCCCAGCCTGTAATTATACCTTCCATGAGTAGTTGTGTGTTTCCTGATGCTGAAGCCAGCTCCCGACCCTCAAAATTATCTCTGAGGGACTCTAGAAACAGCTCCGATAAAAGCTTCACTTGAAGGTAAGGT